ACCGAGGTGACCAGAGATGAATCCTTCGGCTCTCCTTCAGTCTCTACTCGGCCACTAGTTGCGGGTAAGCTGAGAGTCAGGGCGAGTAGGGAGTCAGATGACTCGAGGCTGTGAACAGGCAGAGGTCTGCCCTGTAGCGGAGGCAGAGCGCCATAACGCTCATGGTATTTTGCCAACTTTGGATGTATTTCCAGGGCAGGTGGCAGTTTAAAGTGCCTGCCCGTGACTTCAAGAGAAGGCGCTCCCAGCGCTCCTTTCAGTGTAGGCAGGGTTGGGACCTCGGTTTTATGAGTCCTCCCAATGAGTCCAGGAAGAATTTCGTAACTTGTGTGGGTCGGGGATGATGGAGTTGCATAGTTTTGTGGCTCCTCATGCCAGAAAGAGTCTTCTTTCGAGGTTGTCTCCTCTCCCAGAGGAGTTTGACGAGTTCTAAGCAGGGATTGTAGTCCCCCATATTGCTCTTTGACGGTCGTGGGTGTGAAAAGTAGGGAGGGCAGAGTCTGGGAATGCAGAAGTGAGGAGTCTTCACCTAGGTTGTCGGATGGTGTAGTCACGACCAGCTCAACTGGTATACTGGTAAGGCCTGCGAAAGGCCTAACCGATGGCCCAATATGGGCATATTCAGCGGAGGGTACTTCTTTTTGCTCAGTCTCGTACACTTCCCGAGAACTAAAGGAAAGGAAGAAAGGAGCAGTGCCGGAGTATTAAACACTGATTTTCATTGGTACATTCTACTGTCCTATGAAATCGGGGTAAGGATTCCTAATAAACAACACCGTATTTTACTATGCATAACTAACTACTTATTTTGTTGTAGTTGATTGTTTAGTTTAGTTCAGTTATAAGTTAAGTATACACTAGTTTTAGTCTGGTTTTAGTTTAGCTGAATTCCATTTGAATAGTTTAATTAGTTTAATTTAGTTTTACATTAGTTTAATCTAATTAGTTTGGTTTTAGAGTGGTTTAGTTTTCAGTTTATTATTTAGTTTCATCAGTTTTAGTTTAGTTAATTTAGTTTTATTAACTGATTAATTAGTGTTTTCCTTTCGTCTGATATACCTCACCTATACAATCCCTATTAGCAGCGTATTTTATTATACATAACTAGCTACTTATTTAGTTGTTGTTACTTATTTAGTTTACCTCAGTTATTAGTTAATTATTTATTAGATTTAGTTTAGTTTAGATTTGTTCAATTTTTTTTATTTTATTGAGCTTAATTTAGTTTTAACTTAGTTTATTCTAGCTAGTTTGGTTTTAGATAAGTTTAATTTTAGGACAGTTTTAGTTTAGTTTTTAGGTTATTATGTAGTTTTATTAGTTTTAGTTTAATCCAGTTAGTTTAATTAGTTTATTAATTAATGTTTTCCTTCCGCCTGATCTACCACACTTATATAACCCCCATTAGTACAGGTCCCTTATTAAACAATCCTAGTTTTTTTGTTACTGTGGTATTATTTACAAGGAATACTCGCCGAAATCGGAGTTTTAAGGTATATTTTATATCTCATAAAATGTCAACCGAAAGTCTAATATCCATTTTGCATCGGGAGGGAACTTCATCGCAGTTGGATCTGGTTCTCCCTCTATCATCTGAATCATCCAAAGTATGCGTCATATAATAACCTGCAAGACTGGAAAAGCCATTGTGAAAAATATCGGAATTATGCTCTTGATGCTCTAGCAAACGCTCCATCATAAGGAGTGATCAGGCATTACGCTCTAATCTGCGATTCCTTTTGCAAACTTTAAGACAAATCTTCGTTTAAGGCTTCAATAAATTCCCTGGGTACTCGTGGGTGCGATTGCTGATTGTCTGGCCGCTAAAGGTCAAATGAAATTGATTTGCTGTCTCATGAAATGTCAATCGAAATTCTAAAATGTGTTTTCGATTTGTGCAGCCCAATTCCAAATTACCTCAATCACACCATGATGCTGGCCTAGCAGTAGTAAATTATGTCTTCGTCAAATGTTTTACTTAAAGAAAGTGCAATTTTATGTCTTCAAAGGGTTTCGAATTATAAAATTTCTGAAGGCCGGAAAATGTTCACTTACGAAACACCTTGTTCGCCAATTTAGTAGTGCTGTTTGTTAAGTATAAATAGGGTCCATATTCATTGCAAATTCTTAGAACACTCTATGACATCTTATTGCTAGTACATACAAATGTATGAGTATCCTTACACCAAAAATCCTTAACTTGTAGTTCGGGAACTCTGAATGCAGATGTAACAGCTGGAGCGTTTCAAAAATATTCGGGAATTAAAAAGTGTTTTTTGAAACCAAATAGTATTCCTTCTCAGTGTATAACTTTTGACAGAATATATTCCTAAAGTAATGCAAGAAAAAAATAATGTTGCACATACCTTCTATAAAGTATGCTTACAGTTATAAATGCATCGAAAATCATTGCGAAATATTTCTTCTACTCAATTAGTTACTTCTGACTTAGTGCCGTTTCTGCACACAACTGAAAAGATGCTCAGTCAAAAGCCGGCATTCTGAATTACTTGGGGATTGTGGTGCATCTCAAATAATAGTAATATATGAACATATCTAATAATATTAATGTTAATAGTGCATTACAGTATAATAATATTAATTCTTATACTAAAGTACGCCCCAGAATTCGTGCAAAATGCCGACATATGCGAAAGATTATTACTTTTTCGCTAATCGGCATTGACTCAGGTTGTGATATTGATTACCATGTAAACTATTTTGAAGTTATTTCAGTCATGATATGATATCGGCTTTTTAATGAGCTTACTATTGACCGCTAACAAAACATATATGCTGTAAAAAGTAACCACTTAAGTAGTATACCTTTTTATCATTGATTTTGACTGCCTTTATAAATTAAAATATATTTTATAGAAAACGTAAAGGATATGATTATTTCTTGTACTCGTTTGGTAGCAAATTACGCATTCTTTTAATTTCACACTTGAAGAAAGGATATCTTTCGGTTCATAAAAAATTCTAATTATGAGCTTTTTCGCGATTGTGATGTGTTCTTTCATGAGACATCGTATCCAGAAATTTATTGATGCTGCCTATACTGTATAAAGCATGTTCCACACCTATTGCGACATTTTTAGGAGAACTATGTAACTTCTTCCTCAAACTGTAGGCGAAAACGTACTTTTCCTTAAAAAGGATGTACACAGCGCGCATTTTGTAAACCTTGAATTCGAGTGTAGCAGTCAGTAGGTTTCAAAATTATTCGGCGACTCAGAAACTTTTTTTAAAACCGAATGATACCCTTTCTTTAAGTAAAAATTTAAAGAAGGCGTAATTAGCTACCAAACGAGTACAAGGAATAATTTTTTCGTGTTGATTTTCCATAAAATATGTTTGAATTTACAAAGGCAGTAAAAATCAATGATAAAAACGCATACTATTTATGTGGTTCCTTTTTGCAGCATATACGTTTTGTTAGCGGTCAGAAATGAGCTCGTTAAAAAGCCGACATCCTCTCATGACAAAACATCTTGAGAATAGACTAAGCGATAATCAATATCACAACCTGAGTCAATGCCGATTAGCGGAAGAGTATAAATATTTCACATATGTCAGCATGTTGCACGAATTCTGGCGCGTACTGTTATATAAATTAATACTATAATAACTTTCATGATTAAAATAAACATAGTAGAATTGCAGTTAACATTTCATATGGTAGCATAGATATTGTGCTTTCGCAGAATTTCATAGAGGCAGACTGTTTTGAAACATTTGTTCACATGTTTCACATGGAGACTACTTGCCTCAGACTGCTTGGCTGACCCGGCACGCCTTCCTCCTCCGTCTCGCTGACAAGAACGTTTTTTACGCCGGCAATCTTCTGTGCCACCTTTTCAACCAGTGCTGCTGGCGACCTTGCCTATTGGGGGTGAAAAACAAACTGGATCACATTCATGAACAAATAAAAATTGCCATTTTTACTGCTGAATTTAGGAAACCCTTTAAAAGAGGCAGCTGAAGGACCTTTGTCCGCAGCTACTACTCCGTCCATCTATATAAGCTTCATCCTCCACGATCGTTAGCTATTTTGGGTAGGCTACAAAAGTCCCCTGCCGATGTACGTGGATAAGGAAGTCATAGAAGGCAATTGCAAAGAGGATGCGGCGGATGAAATAAGAAGTTTATCGGATTTTCTCTCAATGTCATCCTCAAAAACCATCAAAGCTGATGGGTTCGGGGAGGGGGAAGGAGAATCCGAAACTTCAGGTGAATAAACTTTTTTACACAGCAACAGCACCGTGAACGGCATCACCATAGAACTATGGTCCTAAGTTTTAGAACGGTTTGAAAAGGGCTGGCGAGTGACATGGACAAATTTAATGCATGTTCATCTAGAACATTTTATATTCCAAACAAACATATCCAGAAACAATGTGTACATCAGCCTGAACTCAACGCAAATTGGGCACCGCCCGCACCATACAGTTTCACAGTGCCGTAGCGACCTTGCATTTCTTAGCCATGCTGTCCTCGGACGCCGTGGGGACAGGCCGTGTCTGGCATGTCCACCACGCGTGCGCAAGAGACGATATTAAAACCCCCGTTCAAGGTCACCTTCTGTCTGCCTCACTGGCCAGACCACCTCTCAAGGCCAGTACACAAGGGAACTTAGCGCGGGATTGTTTACCCTCAGCCACTCCCAGAACCGGCGACCTACCCGGTGATCTACTTGCCAAACTGCGCCTCTGGACTGCGGCCCATTCATGGCTGGACTGCACTTGTCTGGGA